ATTTAACACATATTTAAACCGAAAGTGCTTCTGTGCATGTTTTATATTTTTAATTTACACAGACGAATGTCTGCTTGCCATTAGTAGGTATTTTCTATGGGTGTTTAATACTGTTTATTCACGACACAGAAACGTGCCATTTTGACATTGGGTCTTGTAATGCCAGAGTTGCGTTACACATTAACTCTCTCTCTTTCTCTCTCTCTCTCTCTCTCTCTCTCTCTCTCTCTCTCTCTCTCTCTCTCACTCTCCGTTTCTCTGTCTTTTTTTCTCTCTGTTCGGCTTGCTTGAAATGACTGGCAAGATAAGTGGTTCAATATCACGCTAAGGCAATCCAATTTTTGTGGTGCTATATGCTTTGATGTGTTATGCCTACAGTGTCAGACCAGCTAACGCTCCATTAGGAGTGTTCCCAACTTTGATATCATTAATCATTAATGATTAATGATTAATGAATAATGATTGATAATCCTAACCCTGACCTAAATGACATTAAACCACAAACTAATATATGACCAATATATATATGTATATATATGTTATTATGACCATTAATAACATTAAAGTCAGGAACACTCCTAAAGGAGTATCACCCGTCGGACCAGCAACGTGATAGAACTGCGTAGACAGCTAGGACTGTAACATGCTGCATTACTACGTGTGTAGTTTTGAGTGTGTTTGTTTTTGATTTAAAACAACAATTCACTCTAGTTTTTTTAGTTTTTCTGTATTAATTGTCTGATACGTGATATGTTCTGGCAGCAAATCATACTGAAAAAAACAGGACATGATGCATATGAACATTTGTGTGCGCCATGAAAACAATATTAACAATTTTGTCTTACATTGTTTAGACATAAAAATGAACTCAAGTATGACTGGAGTTATGAGGACATTTTATCCTATCAAAGAAGGCTGGGAAAGATATATCCTGCAATTGTAGTGTGATAGGTTAGCCTAAAATATCAAAGTGTATGTTTGCAATTAAACTATTGTGAAAGCACGTGTATAATAGTATTGCTCTGTATATACTGAAGATTTATATATGTAATGAAACGTATTTGTAAATAAGTAAATAAATGTGCACGAGTTGAAGGGTCTATGAATATTTCCATCGTATTATTCTGGTTATGCCTGTAATATAAAGTTATGCAATGGTTGTGTTTCATGTTCCTTTAATACTATTAAAGAGTAGACATATAAAAAGCTAATAAGTGTGCCTGTAATTAAGGGTCTTGGAATTCAATTAATATGTTTGTTTTGGTTTAATAAAGCCTATTTTACATGAGGGAAGATGAGTCATCCACAAATTTCATTCAATGTGCATGGGATTGCATTGTTTGCTCGAGTTACAGGGTTTCCTAGTTTCCTTTAGTTTGGCCAATGCAGCTCTTCAGCTGTTTCTGGACTTTCACCCATTCCTTTCCCCTGCAGTTTACAGAGTAAAACTCAAATATTGTCTTGTCTGCTGGTTGGGGGTTTACGAATAGTTTTGTCACTCCAACCCTATTTCCTTGCAGTTTATTTGAATTTGTTTCATTGGTTTTTGGCACATCTTCCCAGTGGTCTTTCATTCCAATATTGAATGAAAGTGTTCAGACCGTGTATCTCCAGGATATACTGTGAATAGTCGTTTGTGAATGTTTGAAGTTTATTGCTTGGTGATCTTGTTGATCCCAGATTTCTGCTTGGTGTAACAAAACTTATTTGACATTTTAGTCGCAGTTGCATGTTTCATTTCTTATATGCTTTGAAAGCTATATTTACCTTTAGCACTGAATTTTAATGCAGTGATTGCCCAAAGGTCCAATTATTTTTCGTCATCTTTGTATGTTCTGCCTAAGTGATGCAGGGGAATAGGTGCGCTTCTCTCAACTTCTCTCTGACAAGATTTATTTTAGGAACTGTACGCGAATGATTCTGCAGTTTTAGCTATTGGTGGTTTAACTCCTTTATCATTCCATGAAGAAGAACAGTACATGGCAACAAGCATATGGCTGTCCAAGCGCCTCTATTTGAGGAAGCTGTTGGTAGGTGGTCAGTTGTGAATTACTTTGCAAGATTGACTGCAAGTAAATGAAACAAGGTACATGATATAACAGAACACACGTTTCAGCACGTGCACATTTCAGGGGGTTTGGTTGCTTCCTTTTTCACCGTAATAAGGAAAGAACATTTTGGTGTTTTTCTAAATGGAATACCCTTCCTGAGACAACTCAGTGAAGTCACCATGCACCCAACCCATTGCAAGCTCCCTGCTCTGAATAACCAGACATTGGCATTTGTCGTGTAGGTTAAGACTTTTAAAGTTTATTAACAGGCTGCCAACGACGTCAGAACTGAAGGTTGTTGCGTAGATGATAAACCAAAGATCCTATATACTATCTTAGTATCTACTCAGAAGTATAAACCAAGAAGTACGGTGCACCTAAGATTCGCGTAAAATTTTGCAGGTTATCCAACAAAATGAATTCTGTCCATAGAAGAAACATGTCAATGAAGTCATAATACTAATACATAAAAAATAATGCTTCGAATAACGCGTAAGTTTCCTTTTACTAGATAATACAACTTCACTGTAAATTTCATGTCGCGTAAACGTAAGCGGCGACGACGTTGATGATACGGAGGATGGGCTCGATCACGTGACCGACATCCATATTGAGCTGCTGCAGAGCTCGGGAAGTTGAATAACGTTGTTGCTGTTTTCGTAGTGCTGTGTGCTGTCAGTGACATAGACGTAAGTGCGTTGGAAAGAGGTCTACACAAAAGCTAAGGTATTAATAGTTTTTGTGTATTGTACGTACATTTTAGTATAGTCTTTATTTATATTCCAGTTCAGATAACACACTCAGCTCGGCCACAATCCAATCGCTCAGCTAGGCAAGTGAATGAATCATATAATGATATATATGTAATCACTCATTCACTGATCAGGAGTCTATGAATTGATAAACTCCTGATGTAATATGTAGGGCCCTTTGCCTTCATTCCTAGTGACACTGACAGTCAGTCGTGACTAGTGTATTCATCCTTCGATCGTTACTTTCTGCCGACAAGTCATATATAGCTGCTGATCTTAGTTAAACGGAATATAAGCCGTTGTCGTTTGATGATACTACCGAGTACCGTTGACGTAGGCCTATCAAGTTGATCTGGTTTATCCATGTACCAACCTCATTCCGACATTCGCGATCTGAAAAGCAAATTGTGAAGTATAGGCCTATATCTCTAGCCACCGTAGTATTAGTATTACTATGAGTATTAGTAACGATGAGTACCCGGTACTGTACAAGTTTATAAGTTACAACTTACAATGCTTAATGAGAAACATGGCTTTACAGTTTACGAGAATGAGACTGACAACACCTTAATTCTTTTGAATACCGGTATGCCAAAATAGCATGAACTTTCGTTGAATGTACATATATCATACTACTATCCGGGTATCCCGACGAGGCTGTGTGACTGATTGTCACCCTTCCATACAAAAAACCTATCACCTATGCTATAGAGCTCCGAAGTGATGACGTCACGGTGGCATGACAACGAACCCACTGGTTCTAAACAATCATATGCTCTGGTAACATTAACTGCGTGAAAATCAAAGATTCTAGAGTGCCGTAGGCACAAGATAGACCACTCTCCAATCATAGCGTAGTAGGTCATGGGTCGCCACAACCGCCATTTTGGGAAGCAAGTTCACACGAAGTTCCCGGATGTTGCTGTATCTGCTACTGTGAAACTGTCTGCTGTGTGCTGTCAGCTCAGCTTACTGTTCTGCTGTAAATTGCTCGAATCGTCAGTGTAAGCCCGACCTGTCTTTCTTCAGGTTCCCCAAGAATACGGAAAGGTGAGAAAACATTCTTTTTTGTCGAAATCCATCGTGAAAGAGTTGTGCAATCTTGTTGATACATGTAGTACCAGTGCAGTGTTGTTTGTGCACAGGGCGTACGTGCGGTGTAGTTAACTACTTGTGTGTTGCAGATGAGCATTTAAACGGCATTTACAGCAAGCTATCGACAAAATAGGCGAAAATAGAGTAGAGAAACATTAATACTTTGATAGTAGATACATTTAGTGTTTAATTACCATTATTTGTTTGAGACGGTCCAATGAAGTGCCTGTGCACTGTACCACTGTCTGACACTACACCACTGGCCGAGACTATACAGTATACGCACGGCGGCGCGTGTGGATAAGATTCATATGGCTAATAACGCCACGGCGGCTGTATGGCCGACCTCAATATGGCTAGGAATGAGGAAGGGGAGAAGGAGAAGCTGTGGAGAAGGAGGAGGGAGAAGCTGGTGGAGAAGAGGAAGGGGAGAGGTGGTGGAGAAGGAGGAAGGGAGAAGCTGGTGGAAAAGGAGGAAGGGGAGAAGGAAGAAGGTGGTGGAGAAGGAGGAAGGGAGAAGCTGGTGGAGAAGGAGGAGGGGAGAAGGGAGAAGCTGGTGGAGAAGGAGGAGGGGAGAAGCTGGTGGAGAAGGAGGAAGGGGAGAAGGTGGTGGAGAAGGAGGAAGGGAAGCTGGTGGAAAGGAGGAAGGGGAGAAGGAAGAAGGTGGTGAGAAGGAGGAAGGGAGAAGCTGGTGAAAAGGAGGAAGGGGAGAAGGAAGAAGGTGGTGGAGAGGAGGAAGGGAGAAGCTGTGGAGAAGGAGGAGGGAGAAGGGAGAAGTGTTGAGAAGGAGGAGGGGGAGAAGCTGGTTGAGAAGGAGGAGGGGAGAAGAGAAGGTGGTGGAGAAGGAAGGGAGAAGCTGTGGAGAAGGAGGAGGGGGAGAAGAAGGTCTGGTGGAAGAAGGAAGGAAGAGAAGCTGGTGAGAAGGAGGAGGGGAGAAGGGAAGAAGGTGTTGGAGAAGGAGGAGGGGGAGAAGCTGGTGGAGAAAGGAGGAGGGGGAGAAGAGAGGTGGTGGAGAAGGAAGGGAGAAGCTGGTGAGAAGGAGGAAGGGGAAGGGAAGAAGGTGTTGGAGAAGGAGG